TGCAACCCACTGAGTCACTCTATTAGTTTTGAATCTTTTCACGAGAATATCATTCTCTAGGTTAAGTCTATTATTTCATTAAGGCCGCCCTGTTGGAGATCAYAATCAAATTTGAATTCAGAATTTTTATCTTTTTATTTTATTACAAATTATATTTAGTCAGCAAATAAACTTTGAGGTCTTATAATTTTAAAATTTGTAAATATACTGATAAACCCCTGCAAAGATGTTTTCATTTATTAATTTACACTGTAGATTTAAGAAACACAGAGAATATCATAGATGTATGCTTTATAAAAAGTATGTTTCCTTGTAAACAGAATCAGTCTGAAGCCGCTCAGCTCCTTGCTACATTTTGGCCTCGGCAGATGCAAGACATTAGAAACATGAATACAGTAAGTATTTACTGAGATATACTTTTAGATATGAAAGGTTATAGGATTTTGGGTGGCACAGAGATACACCACTTTTTGTGTTTTTGAGTTCTGGAGCCAATTTTTCATATTATAATCTGGGCTTTCACTTACTGTAGATTAGAGCATATCTCTGCTGTGATGGTGACAATGTCGTAACACAATGATAAAAGGGTTTTCGATTTTAGGGAGGAACAAGWATAGTARCAATRMTGTATGATGTTCACTATAGGTGGTTGGGCATAWTGTTTTSCCATTTCAGACCATATRTCATTTCCTTGAGAATAAGATTCTTTGTTTGGATTGTATCCATATTCACTTCTCATGCACAASCATTAAACAAAGAAAYRATACTCTAKKGARTGACACATGGTCTGAAATGAGAAAACATTATACCAAAGGTAAAGAGAAATATTATAAGCTAAGGGAATGAGGAAGCAAGTAACTTTTATTTTTCTCAGTCATTAATTAATTTATTTCTTTTACTCAAATCCAGCAAGACTTCAAAATCCAAGAACTTCCTCTTGCACGGATAAAGAAAATCATGAAACAAGACGAGGAAGTAAAGGTGAAAAATCCTTTCGTAAAAAATATTCTGTCATCTTTGCATAATGAAATGTATTTATTTTTTGAGGAAAAATAAGTAAGGTTTATTAAATAGCATTGACATATCTTACAAATCTATTCTTTTCTTACCTTTCAGATGATCAGTGCTGAGGTAAGTGTGTATACTATTGTTTCTTTCTTTGACATCTGTGCATTCCCAAGACTTCATAGTAGTCTTCCTTCATGCTATTTGATATTTTTAATCTTAAAATCAACTTGAACTACATSTAGTATGAAAATTAGACTTAATAAATTCTGATGCCAAACATGTTATGGTTGGATTGCAGGCTCCAGTTCTGTTTGCTAAGGCAGCACAAATATTTATAAATGAGTTGTCATTGAGGGCATGGATTCACACAGAGGACAACAAAAGAAGGACTTTACAGGTACAGTATTGCATTGCTTTGGTATACAGTAGTATCAGGGGAGAATCATTAATGTCAATGCACAAAAGAAACCTTCATATGTTATTGATACCCTAGTCAGGGCACGGCTAACTCACAGATTGAACTCTGAAACAACCTCTGGGCTGATCTAAGTCAGGGCTAGCCAACACACAGATTGAACCCTGAAACAACCTCTGGGCTGATTGATTTAGAAAAAACCGGAGACCCCAGAGGCAAGTGCACCAGCTCTATACCACCCTTAGTGAGTGACCACTGCATCTCAGTGCTAAGGAATGCTTACTTTTAGTAATGTTGGTTTGCAGCGTAATGACATTGCCATGGCCATCACCAAGTTTGACCAGTTTGACTTTCTTATTGATATCGTTCCAAGAGATGAACTGAAGCCAACAAAGAGACAGGTAAAGAGAAATGCAACTGAAAACAATCCTAGCTATCGTCCTTTCCATTTAATACAGATGGCTAATGATTCAGTACCATCTTTACTGTTTTGTGTTTATCCTTTGTAAGTAAAGTCATGATCATGATCACCATCATTATTAACGTTATTATAGTCGAGTGTAGATACATAGCAACTATATTTTCTTAATTTATTTTAAAAGAACTAGTTACATTTGTGAAAAGCATAGAGATTTTCTTGTTTATGATATTTTAAAAACGTATTATTATTATCATCATCACAATAATCATCATCATACAACAGAGTGGTCKCTTCATTTCTTTTCTTTTTTATCAATTTAGGAATCAATTCGTCAAACAGTTGCRCCTGAACAAGTCCAGTACTATCTACAGCTTGCGCAACACCATGCCGTCTCCTTGCAACAACAGCAAGTACAACAGGCACAAACAGTGCAGGCTATACCAGGACAGGTGCCACAGCAACAGGTAGCAGCGGCAGCAGCTGCTGCTGCTGCAGCTAATTCAACTAMTCAGGCTCAAGTTATCATCACCAGCCCTAATGTGGTCCCCCAACAAATTGTTAGCATGGCGACGGTAAGAAGTAGATTTAACCCCACTATCCCCCCCCTCCCCCTCCCAAATGAATTGTTAGCATGCCTAAGTAAGTGATATATTGGAACCCCAATTCCTTCCTAGTGTCCCCAAACAGCAGTTCAGATGGTTTAGTCAAAGACTGTTAAAGGTGCACTAGGCTGCCACTGTGTGACCATGAATGATCACAAGGCACACCTTTGTGCAAATAAAAGTGTTGAAACATCAGTCTTTCTAAAAATTACCCTTATCCAGCCAATCAATACACTGAATCAAAATATGGTGACCAATTTGAATAACTATTGTTCTGCACTGACTAGCCTCTCATTCATGTGAAAACGTTTTTGTGTTTCCACATGAACACGAGGCTAGTCAGTCGCTTGTCAGCGCCGAACAATAGTTATTCAAATTGGTCGCCATATTTTGATTCGATGTATATCAACGCTTATTCTTTATGGAATTCGTTTAACAATGTATTACTATGTGTTTTCAGACTCAGCCACAGACCATACAACAACCTGCACAGGAACAAGGAGACGTACAATACACAGTATGTAAAATATAACTGATTCACTGRACTTATTTGCTCACTATTTTGTATTACCTTCACGGTTAAAATGTTCCAAGAACTATTTAACAATAATTAAGAGTTTCTATTCACCGAATCGAAATGTAAGGTGTTATTGAAAATGTTGCATAGAGAGAGTGTTTAAACTTGAGACACCCCTGAAGATGCATGTCTGTCAAGAAATCGTTCTTATACATATATTTGTCCATTTTCCAGCAAATACATTTCAACCCGGCACAAATGCAGTACTTAAGGCTGCAACAACAACAAATACAGCTACAACAACAACAACAGCAGCAGCAGCAGCAGCAGCAACAACAGCAACAGATAGTAGTAACTCAACAGCAACAGCAGCAACAACAAGTCGATCAAGCCCAGCAACCAGCACAAGTAACGACCGCTCAACAACCAACAGAGTTTACTTTTACATCAGGAGGTCAAGTAAGTCAATATCCTCATTTGTTGCTATGTTACCMCTTCGACTAGCAGTGCAACACTGTTTTTGTTCCACATATTACCCGAAACTTTTGGGGTTACAAAGTGTATGTATCTCTAAGACCAACTTCCGGGTTTTCTTCTTAAGGTTTCAAGGACATCATTGCCTTTCTTTTAAGGTGTCTGAATTTTGTTTCTTCAGATATATCAAATCCAGCAGAATCYGCATTCGGGCACGGCAACCGCAGTAGCGATAGGAACAGCACCTCAACAACAACAGCAACAACCACAACAGACATTTATCCAGCAACAAACAACAACAGAACAGCCAACACTCGCCACAGCCGAACAGCAACAACAACAACAAACACAGCAACAACAGCAACAACAAGTTCAACAACAGCCGCAGCAACAACCACAACAATAAGGTAAGAATCAACCGGAATATTTGTACTGATTTTCTCGAAAATCTAAACATATTTTTTCTCTTCTTATTACCTACAGATTAAAACTCTTTGCTCCCATTCTGGACCGCCATCCTTTGCGAACATTATATACTCCTGCTAGAACTTGCTCGTCTCCGTATATATTCTCTATARCTGCTGTCTTCTGCATTCGACTATCATCAATGAACGACATCTTTTACGCTCTATCGTCTTTCCCTACGTCGCGTGATAGTCTAGTGAAAATCACATGGCTGGTTTATAAGTATCACGTGTTAGGTAGCTAAAATTATAGCATGTATCCTGCTCCAKGACTACAATCATCTCTTCAATGTCCGCTTTTTGGGCTGCCTGTGGTTGCTTGAAGCGCACGGGTTYTCAACCAAGAACGACCAAAAAAAGTTGTATATTTAATCTGTATGTACAAATAAATACAAAAAAATGTAAAAAATTGCGTTTATGTTTTTTTTTTCCTTTTTCCCAATGTTTTAGTCTCACTTTTTTTTCCCCTATATCTTCCTTACTTTTCCTTACTTTTCCTTTTTTTTCTCTCTCTCTCTCTTTTCTGGTTTTCTACTATGTTAAAAAATTTTGAGCGAATTATATTCAATTGTGTGAATAAARAATAAAATAATGTCAGAAGTGGGATTCGAACCCACGCCTCCATTCGGAGACCAGAACGCCCGCTCCCAAGCATCTTGGGAAGGATTTACCTTGAGTCTGGCGCCTTAGACCGCTCGGCCATCCTGACAACTATGACAATAAATCTAAACAATATTGTTAAAATCAAAAGCACTTCTGGATGAAAGCCTCGAAAGTTATTACAAGTTTTTCTTTGACTCGCATGGCCCCAATCTCAAATTGCACGTTTGCTGACGGAAAACAAAACGCCATGCAGAAACGTTGCGCAGATGCTAGGAAGCATGATAAAGGTATACCATAAATACTTTATGACTGAAAATAAGAGAAATGATGTTAGAAGTGGGATTTGAAGTCATTCACTTGATCATCCTGTTTCATGAAATATGACGTAGGAGTGATGACGTCATCACTCATCAGAAAAYGATCCATTTCACAAATTGGTTTTATTGATGAGCGCAAAACATAGGAAAAACCTCTTAGATATTTTAATATTTCCCATAGCAACCGTGGCTGGTAAATAAGTAAGTACCCCCTTAAATGTCAAGGAGACACTTCAAGAAAATTCCAGTCGTAGTGAAGTAGAATATAAAGTTCTTCCTTGCTACCATGGCGATATAACTATAAAACAAACAGACTAGTCCCCTGTAGTGCATTGCTTATTTTCTCTCGATAAAGAGTTTATTCCATTTTCGGAGTTTACATATATATACGAGAGATTAACGAACCTGGGTCATACGTTTTCGAGGCCTTGCCAACCAAGAATATTATAAATACTTAACTTAAGGTTAGTCTCATTTTCACCGAAATTGTAATCTTCAAAAGGATTTTATGAATGTGAATGTAAAACTGTATACAACACAGAGCTGAGTGAATCATGGWAAAGCTACTTGCATCAGTTATTTTTTTCACTCTGGGGTTTTCTCTTACCCTCGCTTCAAACTCAGGTTAGTGACTTATAGAATTTTTATTTTTAAACAATAATGAGTTACCAAATTTATACGATTTTAACTATCAAACATAATTTTACTGCAATGAATATTTCAAATTTCAAATCTTGGCTCGACGCTTTAGTTTTTCTGTCAAACGTTACATAGTGTTTTCGCATCGAATACAATAATGACATAATATTTCCTAATTCAGAAACATAAAAATTTAAGAACGAATACTCAACTTTTTTGCATTTTTAAGAGTAAAAACATCTTTTTGATTATTTTGTTATTTGAAATTTTTCTCGCAATGTTTTGGTATATTTTTTGAGCGCTAAAGAAGAAGTTCTAGAATGTTCGACAGATGTTACCATTTCCCCCTCCGACTATATATCACGGCACGGGGTCTTGAAGCATTGAGAATAAACTTTATAAACATCGTACTAAGTTCTTCATGTATAAAAAACTTTGAGATTATTCATGCAGAATTCGTATGTTTTGTAAAGTTTATTATAGTATATTCACAACGTTATAATTTTTCAAATTTTAATTAGTTTTCATTTAAGATTTGCTTCTTTTTTTTACGCTTATGCAACGTGCAACTTACACAAAACCTTCACGCACCCTTTTTTGGAAAAACTGTGTGTGGACTTATCTGGTGTCACCGATAAACAAAGAAATATTACTCAAGCGAATAATATGTGTTCRAAGATTAAAAAAGAAAGTCCTCAACTCAAGACGACTGAATATCAATTTAAAATAAATTATACAAAATATTTACTTTCAAATGTCGCCAGATATAATTTTCTTCTTCCCACTCAACTCTACAACGATATCCGGTGTGACCAAGAATGGTTCCTGCACCATTCTCACCTCCGCTTCAATCCAAGGCTCTGCACTTACTACAGTAAAAGGTCCCGACTCATCACAGAGCGATCCATCAGTGAATCTTGCTCCAGACAACTGGGTCAATCTTGGAGATTTCAGCGGCACGTGTATCAGTAACCCTGGGTTGTGTACTAGTGGTATGACAGTTGTATTCTGGGTTCGTCTWAATGCCAGTGGGTCAGGAGACAGGCACATCATCAGTACAGGAAGGATGGATACATCAAGAGGGCTTCAAGTGTTCTACACGTAAGAATCGTGACTAAAATACTCATCAGTATTGAGGAAGGAAGGAAGGAAGG